TCTGAATTTAACTTTTGTGGAGGGTCGTTTGGGGACCTTGTGGCACGTAGCACCAAGTCTCTGTATTCAGCTCTTGAAAAGTGTGGATGGTCCTGAACGAAACCATCACCACTATAATCAAATCTCATGTGCTGTTGTTGGCCTGTCGGTTTCCTAGAAACTGATCTGCTTGACCCTCATACGTCGAATTCGACCGGAGAGAGTATATATATATATATATATATATATATATATATATATATATATAATATTTCCTATTTATCCTTTATCTTATCACCCTGTCGTCGGATTCTGATCCATATTTGATCTTTTAACTCATATATATATATATATATATATATATATATATATATATATATGTATATATATATATATATATATATTTCGATTATAGGTGCAGTTTAATTTATAATTACATGAATCATTCATACAAAAAAGAAATATAGAGGTTAATGATTTAAATGGCGAGAATACATCTTCGCAAACAATGGCGAGAATACATCTTCGCTAACCCCGAACCTGTATATGAATGATATGATCCCTGTTCATAAATTCCAGTTTCATAAGGTCTGTTTTAAAAACAAGAACAAATCTATTTCCATACCTGAGGATGTCTGTAGGAACAGACGAAAGCTTGTAAAAACTAAAAAAGACCTTATGAAACTGGAATTTATAAACAGGGATCATATCAATCATATACAGGTTCGTGGTGAGTGTATCTTATTGAAATTGTTTGCGAAGATGTATTCTCGCCATTTAAATCATTAACCTCTATATTTGTTTTTGTATGAATGTTTATATATATATATATATATATATATATATATATATATATATATATATATGAATGCTTTTAGCTGTTCTTTTAGCTATTATCAAGTACGTTTTTTTTTTTTTTGGTTTTCTTATGTATGCATCTGAAGTTATAGGAAAGTTTTTTTTTTTGTGGCTGTATTCATAGTTAATGTTAGTGAGTATCGGCTTTTTCTTTTTTAGTATTAGGGCATCCATTATGTTTATTCTTTTTTTTTTATTATATGTGAATGAGGATATAATACTTGTACTTTCTTCTAGTATATTGCGTATGTTGTTTGTTAGATTTTCGTGTATGTTTAAATGAGTTCTAATTGAGTTATGGGCAAATAGGCGTAACGTGAGTCGTCTTGATAGGTATATAGTGGTATGACCAATATAATTATTCATGAGTTTGATTTGATCTGAACACAGACACACACACATAGACACACACATACGCATATATATATATATATATATATATATATATATATATATATATATATATATATATATATATATATATATATATATATAATTGTGTATTTGTGGAACAACCCTTCTTTTATACAAGTTCTATTAAAGACGCTTGACAAGGTTCTGTGATTAAGCTTTTGTTAAATTTTGTTTGTCTTCGTACAGTATTTTCTCTTCCAGATATAAAGTATGTAAAAGCTGTCCAAATATTCTATATATCCAAGCGCTTTCGGCTATTCCATTTGCCATAATCAAGGATATTTTATTTTATTTTTAAATGAAATGTATAGATTGTTATATATGTGTATCGATATAGTGATGGAAATTTTTTCCAAACACTGTCAGCACGTTGTGGCTGTGTTCATATTATTAGGTGTTGGTTTTTCCTTTTTGTTATTAATGCTTGCATAATATTTAGTCATTTTTCCATGTGGATAAGATATAATGTTTGCCTTAAAGAACATTTGTTACCTAAATACACAGAAACCTGTATGTGTATAGATATTTATATGCACACATATATCATTACCTTATGAAAAAGGTTGTATATAAAATTACAATTATATTTGCAACACAATTTTTTGTATACATCTTGAACATTTATAAATCTGCCGTTCGGCCGTGCATTGAATACTGTTGCCATATCTGGCATTTTGCATTGAATACTGTTGCCATATCTAGTTCGGTGTCTTGCTGTATTCCGAGATTCTTGACAAAATCCAAAGAAGATCTGTTATATAATCGATCATGATCAGGCATATCGATTTCAGTCACTTTCTCATTGACGTGACTTGACTTCCTTCTGGCTTTTGTATAGATATTTCCATAGCAACTGCTCGGATTAGTTTTTTTCCCTGGTACTCAGACTATACGAATTGAAGTTTGCTACTAGATTGGCAATTAGGTCTCATTGTTTTACTGTTGAACTAGCTCATTGCAATTGCTACTTCTACTCTAACAGTTTCTTTTCTTTCTTTCCTGATAACTATAATGCAACGTCAATCCTCATCTTCTGTCTTCTTAAACCCTGTTCCTTTTTGTCCTTTCCACAATACTCCTCAGTCTCAGTTTTCTCATTTCTTTTCCCTTTCACTCCAAGCAAACCCCTGCATCATAGTGGCTTTATTGTCTTGCTTGAGGGGGAAAACAACGGCAACAACAAAATATATATGCGTAATCTTTATTAACAACTTGTAATAGCATTTTGGCACATTTCGGTTATCACTTCGTCAATTAAATTCTTTAAATCTTGAAGTGTGTTGGGTTTTCTGCCGTTAACCACGTTCTTGAAACGCGCCCTCCCCCAAGCTCTAGATGTGTCATATTAAGCGAAGTTACTACTGGTTCTGTTTTCGCCAAGATATCGATTTAGTAATTTTCTATCCGAAAATTCTTCGACGACACGTGAGTAATGTGCAGGTGCGTCCTACAGAACAATTTCAATGTTTGCAAAGCTATTCTTGAGAGTTGTGCAAAAATAAGTAATTGGCTAACAAATTCAAGTCTTTTTCACTTCTTATAGTTCCATGAATGTGATGGATACTTTATTTACACACAAGTTCCTTGTTCTTCATATAAACCAGCATTCGAAACAATGACTTTTACCAATTTTTAGGTTCTGACCAATAACACTTGGCTAGGTTCGTGTTATTTTTCTAATATAATTATGTTGAGGTCCTTCATGAAATAAGAAGCTCTCTTTCAAATGATTTATTAGTTTGAATAAAAGTTTCCAATTTCTAAAGACATCCAATCACATAAAAAATTATGCACGAGTGTCAGTTCAGTGTGGTTTGCATTTATCGATGCAGTAATTTATGAACGTCAGAAAAATTGAAACTCTTTTGCGCGTGAAAGAGAAAAGGTCATGACGAATCAATTTATGGAGAAGTTTTTTGAATGATCAATCTTGATGCAATACACACATAAACTCATATAATATTTACTAAATACTACATATATACAAATATATTATGATTTTCATATATATTTCAATGACATATATACCATGAAGATATATATATCCTAGCTAGAGGCAACCGGACGTCTAGCCGCACTGATGAGCTGTGATAAAGCAAAACAGCCTGTCTGTGGTTGACAATATATATATATATATATATATATATATATATATATATGAACATTGAAATCAACACTCAGACGCGATAGGCTGTTTCATGCTAAACACAATCATCAGAAACAGCCTGTTGCCTCTGAGTGTTGACTTCAATGTTCACTTTTATATTTATATTTACATACGCTCTATCGATGATATTGAGCACTTTATCCCATAAATATAGCACAAATTAAAACTAGATTTATATATATATATATATATATATATATATATATATATATATATATATAATTTTGTAGTTTACTGCTACTAACAAGCAGGATTTTTTTCTCCTGATGATGACCATGCTGGCCGAAACTAGCTGAAGAATGTAATTGAAATAATAAAACGAAAAATATTAGTATACAACCCAGTTTGTCTGAAAATTTTAATTTTTTAATATATTTTATAGTTCAAAATTTATATATATATATATATATATATATATATCACCAAATCAGTTCATTTATATGCCCACACACCAAATATTTCCAGAATATCATATTACCATGCGAAAAAACACACACACACACACACACACACACACACACACACACACACACACACACACACATATATATATATATATATATATATATATGAAGTGTGAATATAGGAATCTACACTGTGGATTTAACGCTTCAATGTGATTCTTGACTGTGTTTTAAAAATGAAAACATTATATAAATACATACATACAACAATCAATTTCTTGTTTACAGTCAATATATTTCAACCTTGAAAATAGGTAAATGAATAGCTGAAAGAACTCGGCTAAAAAGAACAATTGCACAATTTTTATATAATTTATCATCCAAAATAAAAATATTAGATCACATTTGAAATTGTATAAAAAAAAACTATATCAAAGTACCTTGTCTGTCGTATGCGCAAGAAATGATAAGTGCATATAATGATAAGTGCATATAAAAAAAAAGAAAAATTGAGATGTATAAGCAGTCAATTGCTTATACTCCTGACGAGTGGACGGACGTCTCTGTCTAAGAAACTCTGAAGTCGAGATACTGAAGGTAACATCAATTAGCTAATTGACGAAACTTTTACTACTATTCTTTCTTTCTTTGTCTCTCTCTCTATATATATGTATATATATGCGTGTGTGTGTGATGTGTGTGTAGTAAATATACAAGGCAATTTGTGAAACTTCTAGTATTTATCATCAGAAAAAATATTTTTATTTTAATTTCCAATAATATTTTTGATCCTAATTCCTTTGTCCAACGAATGATGTATGAACATGTTTTTTGCTAGTGAAGTATTGTTTTATAGGAGATAACACTTTTTCAGGCGACAAGTAATAACTACTAAACTCTCATGTCAAACAAAGTTCTTTGAGAATGTGGGTCTTTCTGTGTGTTGGACCCTAAGAGGGAAAAAATGAGCATTCATTTTGTTCTCTTTCTGTTTCGTCTTGACTGAGGAGGAAATGAAGTAGGGCGTTTCTGATTAGTCGTTTGCTATTTCAAGATCAGCAGTGACAGTTTTTTATATGTCCGTTGTTGTTTGCTTGTTAAATCAATGCTTCAGGATAGCCTGCTGGAATAGGTATTGTCCCGGTAGGGTCTCTTGGGTAAACAAGTATGATTTTGAAAGACCCGAAACTTGTCATGACTCCAAGTCATAACATCACTGATTAGGCATTCCTACTCACCTCTTGGAGTGTATTCATAACAAATACACGAATTTCTATTTTATTTTCTGATGGTGCCGACTCATCGACGAAGATGTTCGAAATCGAATGGTTCCAAAAGCTGCTCACTGAGATATAGATGATATCAAGTTCCTGTCCAATCACCGTAACGTAGCCTCCCTCTACCCTTTCTATAAAAACTCAAATAGTAATTGTTCTGACTAACTTTTCTCTATGCTACATAGATTTTATGAATTTAAGCTCAGTACTAGATTGGTCTCATCCTTTTACAGTTGAAATGGGTAGATGTAAGAGTAAGTTATGTACTAACAGTTTCGTTCTCAATGATTTCCAGCCAACTTTAATTTTCAAAAATTTACATGCACTGTGAGTGGCTATCTACTGTCCTCTAGATTGCTCTTTCCTCTTCCCACTGTCAGTCGCTATCTACTGTCCTCTAGATTGCTCTTTCCTCTTCCCACTGTCAGTCGCTCTCTACTGTCCTCTAGATTGCTCTTTCCTCTTCCCACTGTCAGTCGCTATCTAGTGTCCTCTAGATTGGTCTTTCCTCTTCCCACTGTCTGTCGCTATCTACTGTCCTCAAGATTGCTCTTTCCTCTTCCCACTGTCTGTCGCTATCTACTGTCCTCTAGATTGCTCTTTCCTCTTCCCACTGTCAGTCGCTATCCACTGTCCTCTAGATTGCTCTTTCCTCTTCCCACTGTCTGTCGCTATCTACTGTCCTCTAGATTGCTCTTTCCTCTTCCCACTGTCAGTCGCTATCTACTGTCCTCTAGATTGCTCTTTCCTCTTCGCAGTGTCAGTCGCTATCTACTGCCCTCTAGATTGCCCTTTCCTCTTCCCACTGTCAGTCGCTATCTACTGTCCTCCTGATTGCTCTTTCCTCTTCCCACTGTCAGTCGCTATCTACTGTCCTCCTGATTTCTCTTTCCTCTTCCCACTGTCAGTCGCTATCTACTGTCCTTCTCAGTGTTCTTTCCTCTTCCGACTGTCAGTTGCTATCTACTGTCCTCCTGATTGCTCTTTCCTCTTCCCACTGTCAGTCGCTATCTACTGTCCTCCTGATTTCTCTTTCCTCTTCAAACTGTCAGTTGCTATCTACTGTCCACTTGATTGCTCTTTCCTCTTCCCACTGTCAGTCGCTATCTACTGTCCTCCTGATTTCTCTTTCCTCTTCAAACTGTCAGTTGCTATCTACTGTCCTCTTGATTGCTCTTTCCTCTTCCCACTGTCAGTCGCTATCTACTGTCCTCCTGATTGCTCTTTCCTTTTCCCACTGTCAGTTGCTATCTACTGTCCTCCTGATTGCTCTTTCCTCTTCCGACTGTCAGTTGCTATCTACTGTCCTCCTGATTTCTCTTTCCTCTTCCCACTGTCAGTTGCTATCTACTCTCCCCTTGATTTCTCTTTCCTCTTCCCACTGTCAGTTGCTATCTACTCTCCCCTTGATTTCTCTTTCCTCTTCCCACTGTCAGTCGCTATCTATTGTCCTGCTGATTGCTCGTTCCTCATCCCACTGTCAGTTGCTATCTACTGTCCTCCTGATTGCTCTTTCCTCTTCCCACTGTCAGTCGCTATCTACTGTCCTCCTGATTTCTCTTTCCTCTTCCCACTGTCAGTTGCTATCTACTGTCCTCCTGATTGCTCTTTCCTCTTCCCACTGAGTGTTGCTATCTACTGTCCTCTTGATTGCTCTTTCCTCTTCCCATTGTCAGTCGCTATCTACTGTCCTCCTGATTTCTCTTTCCTCTTCCCACTGTCAGTCGCTATCTACTCTCCCCTTGATTTCTCTTTCCTCTTCCCACTGTCAATCGCTATCTACTGTCCTCCTGATTGCTCTTTCCTCTTCCCACTGTCAGTCGCTATCTACTGTCCTCCTGATTTCTCTTTCCTCTTCCCACTGTCAGTTGCTATCTACTGTCCTCCTGATTGCTCTTTCCTCTTCCCACTGTCAGTTGCTATCTACTGTCCTCCTGATTGCTCTTTCCTCTTCCCACTGTCAGTCGCTATCTACTCTCCCCTTGATTTCTCTTTCCTCTTCCCACTGTCAATCGCTATCTACTGTCCTCCTGATTGCTCTTTCCTCTTCCCACTGTCAGTCGCTATCTACTGTACTCCTGATTTCTCTTTCCTCTTCCCACTGTCAGTTGCTATCTACTGTCCTCCTGATTGCTCTTTCCTCTTCCCACTGTCAGTCGCTATCTACTCTCCTCTTGATTTCTCTTTCCTCTTCCCACTGTCAGTTGCTATCTACTGTCCTCCTGATTGCTCTTTCCTCTTCCCACTGTCAGTCGCTATCTACTGTCCTCCTGATTTCTCTTTCTTCTTCCCACTGTCAGTCGCTATCTACTCTCCCCTTGATTTGTCTTTCCTCTTCCCACTGTCAGTCGCTATCTATTGTCCTGCTGATTGCTCGTTCCTCTTCCCACTGTCAGTTGCTATCTACTGTCCTCCTGATTGCTCTTTCCTCTTCCCACTGTCAGTCGCTATCTACTCTCCCCTTGATTTCTCTTTCCTCTTCCCACTGTCAGTCGCTATCTATTGTCCTGCTGATTTCTCTTTCCTCATCCCTCTGTCAGTTGCTATCTACTGTCCTCCTGATTGCTCTTTCCTCTTCCCACTGTCAGTCTTTTATCTACTGTCCTCCTGATTTCTCTTTCATCTTCCCACTGTCAGTCGCTATCTACTCTCCCTTGATTTCTCTTTCCTCTTCCCACTGTCAATCGCTATCTACTGTCCTCCTGATTGCTCTTTCCTCTTCCCACTGTCAGTCGCTATCTACTGTCCTCCTGATTTCTCTTTCCTCTTCCCACTGTCAGTTGCTATCTACTGTCCTCCTGATTGCTCTTTCCTCTTCCCACTGTCAGTTGCTATCTACTGTCCTCCTGATTGCTCTTTCCTCTTCCCACTGTCAGTCGCTATCTACTCTCCCCTTGATTTCTCTTTCCTCTTCCCACTGTCAGTCGCTATCTATTGTCCTCTTGATTTCTCTTTCCTCTTCCCACTGTCAGTTGCTATCTACTGTCCTCCTGATTGCTCTTTCCTCTTCCCACTGTCAGTCGCTATCTACTGTCCTCCTGATTGCTCTTTCATTTTCCCACTGTCAGTCGCTAACGACTGTCCTCCTGATTGCTTTTTCCTCTTCCCACTGTCAGTCGCTGTCTACTGTCCTCTAGATTGCTCTTTCCTCTTCCCACTGTCAGTCGCTATCTACTGTCCTCTAGATTGCTCTTTCATCTTCCCACTGTCAGTCGCTATCTACTGTCCTCCTGATTTCTCGTTCCTATTCCCACTGTCAGTCGCTGTCTACTGTCCTCTAGATTGCTCTTTCCTCTTCCCACTGTCAGTCGCTATCTACTGTCCTCTAGATTGCTCTTTCCTCTTCCCACTGTCAGTCGCTATCTACTGTCCTCCTGATTGCTCTTTCCTCTTCCCACTGTCAGTCGCTATCTACTGTCCTCCTGATTGCTCTTTCCTCTTCCCACTGTCAGTTGCTATCTACTGTCCTCCTGATTTCTCTTTCCTCTTCCCACTGTCAGTCGCCATCTACTGTCCTCTTGATTGCTCTTTCCTCTTCCCACTGTCAGTCGCTATCTATTGTCCTCTTTGATTTCTTTCCTCTTCCCACTGTAAAGTTGCTATCTACTGTCCTCTAGATTGCTCTTTCCTCTTCCCACTGTCAGTCGCCATCTACTGTCCTCCTGATTGCTCTTTCATTTTCCCACTGTCAGTCGCTAACGACTGTCCTCCTGATTGCTTTTTCGTTCTATTCCCACTGTCAGTCGCCGTCTACTGTCCTCTAGATTGCTCTTTTCCTCTTCCCACTGTCAGTCGCTATATACTGTCCTCCTGATTGCTCTTTCATCTTCCCACTGTCAGTCGCTATCTACTGTCCTCCTGATTGCTCTTTCCTCTTCCCACTGTCAGTCGCTATCTACTGTCCTCTAGATTGCTCTTTCCTCTTCCCACTGTCAGTCGCTATCTACTGTCCTCTAGATTGCTCTTTCCTCTTCCCACTGTCAGTCGCTATCTACTCTCCTCCTGATTTCTCTTTCCTCTTCCCACTGTCAGTCGCTATCTACTGTCCTCTTGATTTCTCTTTCCTCTTCCCACTGTCAGTCGCGTTCTACTGTCCTCTAGATTTCTCTTTCCTTCTTCCCACTGTCAGTCGCTATCTACTGTCCTACTGATTGCTCTTTCCTCTTCCCACTGTCAGTGTTTCTCTACTGTCCTCTAGATTGCTCGTTCCTCTTCCCACTGTCAGTTGCTATTCACTGTCCTCCTGATTGCTCTTTCCTCTTCCCACTGTCAGTCGCTATCTACTCTCCTCTGTCAGTTGATTTCTCTTTCCTCTTCCCACTGTCAGTTGCTATCTACTGTCCTCTTGATTTCTCTTCCTTGGTTCCCACTGTCAGTTGCTATCTACTGTCCTCTAGATTGCTCTTTCCTCTTCCCACTGTCAGTCGCTATCTACTGTCCTCCTGATTTCTCTTTACTCTTCCACTGTCCGTCGCTATCTACCGTCCTCCTGATTTCTCTTTCCTCTTCCCACTGTCAGTCACTATCTACTGTCCTCCTGATTGCTCTTTCCTCTTCCCACTGTCAGTCCTTATCTACTGTCCTCCTGTTTCTCTTTCCTCTTCCGACTGTCAGTTGCTATCTACTGTCCTCCTGATTGCTCTTTTCCTCTTCCCACTGTCAGTTGCTATCTACTGTCCTCTCCTTTGATTTCCCCACTCTTTCCTCTTCCCACTGTCAGTCGCTATCTATTGTCCCCTTGATTTCTCTTTCCTCTTCCCACTGTCAGTTGCTATCTATTGTCCTGCTGATTGCTCTTTCCTCATCCCACTGTCAGTTGCTATCTACTGTCCTCCTGATTGCTCTTTCATTTCCCACTGTCAGTCGCCATTCTACTGTCCTCCTGATTTCTCTTTCCTCTTCCCACTGTCAGTCGCCATCTACTGTCCCCTTGATTGCTCTTTCCTCTTCCCACTGTCAGTCGCTATCTATTGTCCTCTTGATTGCTCTTTCATCTCTTCCCACTGTCAGTCGCTATCTACTGTCCTCCTTGATTTCTCGTTTCCTCTTCCCACTGTCAGTCGCTGTCTACTGTCCTCCTGATTGCTCTTTCCTCTTCCCATTGTCAGTCGCCATCTACTGTCCTCTTGATTTCTCTTTCCTCTTCCCACTGTCAGTTGCTATCTACTGTCCTCCTGATTGCTCTTTCCTCTTCCCACTGTCAGTCACTATCTACTGTCCTCCTGATTGCTCTTTCCTCTTCCCACTGTCAGTCGCTATCTACTCTCCCCTTGATTTCTCTTTCCTCTTCCCACTGTCAGTCATATCTATTGTCCTCCTGATTTCTCGTTCCTCTTCCCACTGTCAGTTGCTATCTACTGTCCTCCTGATTTCCTCTTTTCCTCTTCCCACTGTCAGTCGCTATCTACTGTCCTCCTGATTTCTCTTTCCTCTTCCCACTGTCAGTCATATCTACTGTCCTCTTGATTGCTCTTTCCTCTTCCCCACTGTCAGTCGCCATCTACTGTCCTCTAGGATTGCTCTTTCCTCTTCCCACTGTCAGTTGCTATCTACTGTCCTCCTTATTGCTCTTTTTCCCCTTCCCACTGTCAGTTGCTATCTACTGTCCTTTGATTTCTCTTCCTCCTTCCCACTGTCAGTCGCTATCTATTGTCCTGTTGATTGCTCTTTCCTCTTCCCACTGTCAGTTGCTATCTACTGTCCTCCTGATTTCTCTTTCCTTCCCACTGTCAGTTGCCATCTACTGTCCTCTTGATTGCTCTTTTCCTCTTCCCACTGTCAGTTGCTATCTACTGTCCTCCTGATTGCTCTTTCCTCTTCCCACTGTCAGTCGCTATCTACTGTCCTCCTGATTTCTCTTTCATCTTCCCACTGTCAGTCGCTATCGACTGTCCTCCTGATTTCTTTCCTCTTCCCACTGTCAGTCGCTATCTACTGTCCTCTAGATTGCTCTTTCATCTTCCCACTGTCAGTCTTTATCTACTGTCCTCCTGATTTCTCTTTCCTCTTCCCACTGTCAGTCGCTGTTCTACTGTCCTCTTGATTGCTGTTTCCTCTTCCCACTGTCAGTCGCTATCTACTGTCCTCTAGATTGCTCTTTCCTCTTCCCACTGTCAGTTTATCTACTGTCCTCTAGATTGCTCTTTCCTCTTCCCACTGTCAGTCGCCATCTACTGTCCTAGATTGCTCTTTTCCTTCTTCCCACTGTCAGTCGCTATCTACTGTCCTCTGATTGTCTTTCCTCTTCCCACTGTCAGTCGCCATCTACTGTCCTCTAGATTGCTCTTTCCTCTTCCCACTGTCAGTCGCTATCTACAGTCTCTAGATTTCTCTTTCCTCTTCCCACTGTCAGTCGTTATTCACTCTCCCTCCTTGATTTCTCTTTCCTCTTCCCACCGTCAGTCGCTATCTATTGTCCCTCTTGATTGCTCGTTCCTCTTCCCACTGTCAGTCGCTATCTACTGTCCTCCTGATTGCTCTTTCCTCTTCCCACTGTCAGTCGCCATCTACTGTCCTTTTAGATTGCTCTTTCCTCATCCCACTGTCAGTTGCTATCTACTGTCCTCCTGATTTCTCTTTCCTCTTCCCACTGTCAGTCGCTATCTACTGTCCTCCTGATTTCTCTTTCCTCTTCCCACTGTCAGTCGCTATCTACTGTCCTCTTGATTTCTCTTTCCTCTTCCCACTGTCAGTCGCTATCTACTGTCCTCCTGATTGCTCTTTCCTCTTCCCACTGTCAGTCGCTATCTACTGTCCTCCTGATTGCTCTTTCCTCTTCCCACTGTCAGTCGCTATCTACTGTCCCCCCCTGATTTCTCTTTCCTCTTCCCACTGTCAGTCGCTATCTACTGTCCTTCTGAGTGTTCTTCCTCTTCCGACTGTCAGTTGCTATCTACTGTCCCTCCTGATTTCTTCTTTCCTCTTCCCACTGTCAGTCGCTATCTATTGTCCTCCTGATTTCTCGTTCCTCTTCAAACTGTCAGTTGCTATCTACTGTCCACTTGATTGCTCTTTCCTCTTCCCACTGTCAGTCGCCATCTACTGTCCTCCTGATTTCTCTTTCCTCTTCAAACTGTCAGTTGCTATCCACTGTCCTCTTGATTGCTCTTTTCCTCTTCCCACTGTCAGTCATCTACTGTCCTCCTGATTGCTCTTCCTTTCCCACTATCAGTTGCTATCTACTGTCCCTGATTGCTCTTTTCCTCTTCCGACTGTCAGTTGTTATCTACTGTCCTCCTGATTTTCTCTTTCTCTTCACTGTCATTGCTATCTACTTCCTCTTTGATTTCTTCCTCTTCCCACTCTCAGTCGCTATCTATTGTCCTCCTGATTGCTCTTTCCTCATCCCACTGTCAGTCCTTTATCTACTGTCCTCCTGATTGCTCTTTCCTCTTCCCACTGTCAGTCGCTATCTACTGTCCTCCTGATTGCTCTTTCCTCTTCCCACTGTCAGTTGCTATCTACTGTCCTCCTGATTGCTCTTTTCCTCTTCCCACTGGAGTCGTTTCTATCTACTGTCCTTCTTTGATTGTTCTTTCCTCTTCCCATTGTCAGTCGCTATCTACTGTCCTCCTGATTGCTCTTTCCTCTTCCCACTGTCAGTCGCTATCTACTCTCCCCTTGATTTCTCTTTCCTCTTCCCACTGTCAGTCGCTATCTACTGTCCTCCTGATTGCTCTTTCCTCATCCCACTGTCAGTCGCTATCTACTGTCCTCTTGATTTCTCTTTTTCCTCTTTCCCACTGTCAGTCGCTATCCACTGTCCTCCTGATTCCTCCTCTTCCCACTGTCAGTCGCTATCTATTGTCCTGCTGATTGCTCGTTCCTCCTCCCACTGTCAGTTGCTATCTACTGTCCTCCTGATTGCTCTTTCCTCTTCCCACTGTCAGTCGCTATCTACTGTCCTCCTGATTTCTCTTTCCTCTTCCCACTGTCAGTCGCTATCTACTCTCCCCTTGATTTCTCTTTCCTCTTCCCACTGTCAGTCGCTATCTACTGTCCTCCTGATTTCTCTTTCCTCTTCCCACTGTCAGTTGCTATTTACTGTCCTCCTGATTTCTCTTTCCTCTTCCCACTGTCAGTTGCTATCTTCTCTCCCCTTGATTTCTCTTTCCTCTTCCACTGTCAGTTGCCATCTACTGTCCTCCTGATTGCTCTTTCCTCTTCCCACTGTCAGTCGCTATCTTCTCTCCCTTGATTTCTCGTTCCTCTTCCCACTGTCAATTGCTATCTACTGTCCTCCTGATTGCTCTTTCCCTCTTCCCCACTGTCAGTCGCTATCTACTGTCCTCCTGATTTTCTTTCCCCTCTTCCCACTGTCAGTTGCTATCTACTGTCCTCTTGATTGCTCTTTCCTCTTCCCACTGTCAGTCGCTATCTACTCTCCTCTTGATTTCTCTTTCCTCTCTTCCCACTGTCAGTTGCTATCTACTGTCCTCCTGATTGCTCTTTCCTCTTCCCACTGTCAGTCGCTATCTATTGTCCTGCTGATTGCTCGTTCCTCCTCCCACTGTCAGTTGCTATCTACTGTCCTCCTGATTTCTCTTTCCTCTTCCCACTGTCAGTCGCTATCTACTGTCCTCCTGATTTCTCTTTCCTCTTCCCACTGTCAGTTGCTATCTACTGTCCTCCTGATTGCTCTTTCCTCTTCCCACTGTCAGTCGCTATCTACTGTCCTCCTGATTTCTCTTTCCTCTTCCCACTGTCAGTTGCTATCTACTGTCCTCCTGATTGCTCTTTCCTCTTCCCACTGTCAATGCTATCTACTGTCCTCCTGATTTCTCTTTCCTCTTCCCACTGTCAGTTGCTTTATCCACTGTCTCCCCTTGATTTCTCTTTCCTCTTCCCACTGTCAATCGCTATCTACTGTCCTCCTGATTGCTCTTTTCCTTTTCCCACTATCAGTCGCTATCTACTCTCCTCTTGATTTCTCTTTCCTCTTCCCACTGTCAGTCGCTATCTACTCTCCCCTTGATTTCTCTTTCCTCTTCCCACTGTCAGTCGCTATCTATTGTCCTGCTGATTGCTCGTTCCTCATCCCACTGTCAGTTGCTATCTACTGTCCTCTTGATTTCTCTTTCCTCTTCCCACTGTCAGTCGCTATCTACTGTCCTCTTTGATTTCTCTTTCTCTTCCCACTGTCAGTTGCTATCTACTGTCCTCCTGATTGCTCTTTCCTCTTCCCATTGTCGTCGCCATCTACTGTTCTCTTGATTGCTCTTTCCCTCTTCCCATTGTCAGTTGCTATCTACTGTCCTCCACCAATTTTCTTTCCTTCCCACTGTCAGTCTTATCTACTGTCCTCCTGATTTCTCTTTTCCTTTTCCCACTGTCAGTCGCCATCTATTCTCCTTTGATTTCTCTTCCTCATCCCACTGTCAGTCGCTATCTATTGTCCTCCTGATTTCTCTTTCCTCTTCCCACCGTCAGTTGCTATCTACTGTCCTCTTGATTTCTCTTTCCTTCCCACTGTCAGTCGCTATCTACTGTCCCTTTGATTTCTCTTTCCTCTTCCCACTATCAGTCGCCTATCTACTGTCCTCCTGATTGCTCTTTCCTCTTCCCCATTGTCAGTCGCCATCTACTGTCCTCTTGATTTCTCTTCCTCTTCCCACTGTCAGTTGCTATCTACTGTCCTCCTGATTGCTCTTTCCTCTTCCCACTGTCAGTCGCTATCTACTGTCCTCCTGATTTCTTTCCTCTTCCCACTGTCAGTTGCTATCTACTGTCCCTTGATTGCTCTTTCCTCTTCCCACTGTCAGTCGCTATCTATTGTCCTCCTGATTTCTCGTTCCTCATCCCACTGTCAGTTGCTATCTACTGTCCCCTTGATTTCTCTTTCCTCTTCCCACTGTCAGTCGCTATCTACTGTCCTCTTGATTTCTCTTTCCTCTTCCCACTATCAGTCGCTATTTACTGTCCTCCCCATTTCTCTTTTTCCTTCCCACTGTCAGTCGCTATCTTACTGTCCCCTTTGATTTCTCTTTCCTCTTCCCACTGTCAGTTGCTATCTACTGTCCTCCTGATTGCTCTTTCCTCTTCCCACTGTCAGTCGCTATCTACTCTCCTCCTGATTTCTCTTTCCTCTTCCCACTTTCAGTCGCTATCTACTGTCCCCTTGATTGCTCTTTTTCCTCTTCCCACTGTCAGTCGCTATCTATTGTCCTGTTGATTTCCTGTTTCCTCATCCACTGTCAGTTGCTATCTACTGTCCTCCTGATTGCTCTTTCCTCTTCCCACTGTCAGTCGCCATCTACTCTCCTCCTGATTTCTCTTTCCTCTTCCCACTGTCAGTTGCTATCTACTGTCCTCTTTGATTGCTCTTTCCTCTTCCCCACTGTCAGTCGCTATCTACTGTCCTCCTGATTTCTCTTTCTTCTTCTCACTGTCAGTCGCTATCTACTGTCCTCCTCAGTGTTCTTTTCTCTTCCGACTGTCAGTTGCTATCTACTGTCCTTTTCATTGCTCTTTCCTCTTCCCACTGTCAGTTGCTATCTATTGTCCACTTGATTGCTCTTTTCCCTTCCCACTGTCAGTCGCTATCTACTGTCCTCCTGATTGCTCTTTCCTCTTCCGACTGTCAGTTGCTATCTACTGTCCTCCTGATTGCTCTTTCCTCTTCCCACTGTCAATTGCTATCTACTGTCCTCTTGATTGCTCTTTCCTCTTCCCATTGTCAGTCGCTATCTACTGTCCTCTTGATTTCTCTTTCCTCTTCCCACTGTCAGTTGCTATCTACTGTCCTCCTGATTGCTCTTTCCTCTTCCCACTGTCAGTCGCTATCTACTGTCCTCCTGATTTCTCTTTCCTCTTCCCACTGTCAGTCGCTATCTACTCTCCCCTTGATTTCTCTTTCCTCTTCCCACTGTCAGTCGCTATCTATTGTCCTGCTGATTGCTCGTTCCTCATCCCACTGTCAGTTGCTATCTACTGTCTTCTTGATTTCTCTTTCCTCTTCCCACTGTCAGTCGCTATCTACTGTCCTCTTGATTTCTCTTTCCTCTTCCCACTATCAGTCGCTATCTACTGTCCTCCTGATTGCTCTTTCCTCTTCCCATTGTCAGTCGCTATCTACTGTCCTCTTGATTTCTCTTTCCTCTTCCCACTGTCAGTTGCTATCTACTGTCCTCCTGATTGCTCTTTCCTCTTCCCACTGTCAGTCGCTATCTACTGTCCTCCTGATTTCTCTTTCCTCTTCCCACTGTCAGTCGCTATCTACTCTCCCCTTGATTTCCTCTTTCCTCTTCCCACTGTCAGTCGCTATCATTGTCCTGTTGATTGCTCGTTCCTCATCCCACTGTCAGTTGCTATCACTGTCTTCTTTGATTTCTCTTTCCTCTTCCCACTGTCAGTCGCTATCTACTGTCCTCTTGATTTCTCTTTCCTCTTCCCACTATCAGTCGCCATCTACCGTCCTCCCCATTGCTCTTTCCTCTTCCCATTGTCAGTCGCCATCTTGTCCTCTTTGATTTTCTTTCCTCTTCCCACTGTCAGTTGCTATCTACTGTCCTCCTGATTGCTCTTTCCTCTTCCCACTGTCAGTCTTTATCTACTGTCCTCCTGATTTCTCTTTCCTCTTCCCACTGTCTGTCGCCTTATCTACTCTCCCCTTGATTTCTCTTTCCTCTTCCCACTGTCAGTCGCTATCTATTGTCCTGCTGATTGCTCCTTCCTCATCCCACTGTCAGTTGCTATCTACTGTCCTCCTGATTGCTCTTTCCTCTTCCCACTGTCAGTCGCTATCTACTGTCCTCCTGATTTCTCTTTCCTCTTCCCACTGTCAGTTGCTATCTACTGTCCTCTTGATTTCTCTTTCCTCTTCCCACTGTCAGTCGCTATCTACTGTCCTCTTGATTTCTCTTTCCTCTTCCCACTGTCAGTCGCTATCTACTGTCCTCCTGATTTCTTCTTCTCTCACTGTCAGTCGCTATCTACTGTCCTCCCCCTCAGTGTTCTTTTTTCTTCCGACTGTCAGTTGCTATCTACGTGTCCTTTTCATTGCTCTTTCCTCTTCCCACTGTCAGTTGCTATCTATTGTCCACTTGATTGCTCTTTTCCCTTCCCACTGTCAGTCGCTATCTACTGTCCTCCTGATTGCTCTTTCCTCTTCCGACTGTCAGTTGCTATCTACTGTCCTCCTGATTGCTCTTTCCTCTTCCCACTGTCAATTGCTATCTACTGTCCTCTTGATTGCTCTTTCCTCTTCCCACTGTCAGTCGCTATCTACTGTCCTCCTGATTTCTCTTTCCTCTTCCCACTGTCAGTTGCTATCTACTGTCCTCCTGATTGCTCTTTCCTCTTCCCACTGACAGTTGCTATCTACTGTCCTCTAGATTGCTCTTTCCTCTTCCCACTGTCAGTCGCTATCTACTGTCCTCCTGATTGCTCTTTTTTCTTCCCAC